TATTTATATATAATTGAAATTTAATCTAATAGGCAAAAGTATGTATGGACCAATCCAAAATATACCAAAAATTGTATTAAATTATTTAAATTGAGCAAAAACGTTAGGCTATACTATATAAGTTTAACTTAATGAAATTAGTGTATAATTATAATAAATTAGTGATAGCGACAGAACAAAAATGCCAAGCGATAGTAGGTAATAGTTAGATAAGGATATATCCTTGTCGTTTTATCAGGACATAGATACATATATAAAGTTTACATTACATTACCAGGAATATTTTACGTAGCTATATTTCCATTATTTGAAGCTATATAGTTCTTATTGACCTTCATATATATTATTGTTACTGTTATAGACTCATGTTGTTTATACAAGGCGCTCCTAAGTCTTTAATTTAGCGTGACAAGTCAATTAGGAGGTACAGTTAAACGTTATTGACTTAGTTTATCAACTCAGAAAATATAACGCAGTAGAATTGAATTCCTTTAAAAAATAAATATTGTATAGAAATGATAAATATTTTTACTACGACTTGAGTTTTGGACACGCCTTGAGACCACCCAAAGAAACGCCCAAAGAAATTTAGTAGAATAAAATATTAAGAACACAGTTCTAGCTTACATACTCTACTTTACATTGATTTAAATTTATTAATTTCAATGAAAGCAAATATAAAGATTAAAATTTAGAATAGAATGATTATGGTCAATCAGAAATAGTTAGGGCTAATTTTAGGCTAAACACGAATCGTACGAAAATTATCATTTATTTATATATAAACTAGAATTATGAGAAAAATCGATAAGGGCGTTTAGGAGTTCAATGATTGACTCAATAAAAATATGTAAATTATATTATGACTTTATCCTACCTTTCTAATCGATGCTTTTCCACATTTTCTCCCCAACTCCAAAAATTAGCAACACCATGCCTTGTGATCCAATGGACGACATCGAATTGAAATCAATTCAGCTCCAATTTCCATCATCAAGAACTGCTCCAAGGCAGAGCATTGGAACAATTTCTAGAGTCCCTACAGATCATGGTGAATTGCAAGTTGCTGTAGTTGGTGATTGCACGAAACCAGCAATTCTGACTTATCATGATCTTGGATTGAACTGTAAGTAGAAAAAAAAAATATAAAGATAAATATTATCATTCATCTACTTTAGACTAAATTAATTCATTTTAATCTTTGAAATGTTTCTGAAACCTATTTTGGAAAGTTACCGAACAATTCCAGACAATTACAGACGGATACTAAATATTTTAAACAATTACACTATTTGCATTAAAACCCAATTTTCCACTAACAGTTTCAAAGTTTCAAACTGTTCCGAATATTTCCAACAAACTTTATCGTCTAGTTTCGAGTCAACAATGTGCTTAAAACTTTAGAATTCATAACAGAAACTTAGATGGGAGATATTCATTGAATATAATGCTAAATCGAATTAATCCTCATAGAATTATGCATGTTTCTTGCAGATTCGTCAAGTTTCAGTGCTTTCTTTAATTATCCTTCAATGAGAGCTCTACTTGAGAACTTTTGCGTTTACCATGTCACCGCACCTGGACAAGAAGAAGGAGCTCCTACCTACCCAGAAGAGTAGGAATATTTTTGATATACTCAAATCTTACAAATTCTGATAATTAATACTTGTTTATTCGTTGGCAGTTATGTTTATCCTACGATGGACCAACTGGCTGGACAACTACCTTTTGTGTTGACTCATTTTGGACTAAAATCTGTTATCGGTTTTGGAGTTGGATTTGGAGCCAACGTGTTGGCTCGATTTGCTATTGAACATCCAGAACAGGTAAAGTAATACTTGTTTAGCTACAATTTGTTTTTGAAATTATTTTAATAATATTTGTATAAATTTTGTGACAGGTTGGTGCTCTTTGTTTGGTAAACTGCGTGAGCACGGTATCTGGCTGGATCGAATGGGGTTACCAGAAATTGAACGCCCGTCATTTGAAGTCCAAAGGGATGACCCAGGGTGTTGTGGATTATCTGATGTGGCACCACTTTGGAAGAGTAAGATATTAAGAAATTTTTTGAAATTTTACATTCGAGCCAAGTAGAAGTACCAAGACTGACAAACATACAACTTGTGGTCAATCTCATTTCATATCTATGACAACCTAATTTAAATTTAAGCTTCATATAAGATCATTTAAGATCAAGTGTTGGTTGTACAGTACCTTTTCGGAATGTTACCTCTTTTTTACCATGTTTTTCTTCTACTATAGAACACAGAAGAGCGCAACCACGATCTCGTCCAAGTCTACAAGAATTACTTCGAGCAGCAAATAAATCCAGTGAACCTTTCGATGCTGATAGACACGTATTTGAGAAGAACGGATATGAATATTGCCCGTAGCCCGACATCCGGACCTCAGAACAACGATATGACATTAAAGATGCCCGTCATGAACATTACAGGAAGTCTATCGCCACATGTCGATGACACTGTCACGTTGAACGGACGTCTGGATCCCAAGAACTCCACTTGGATGAAGGTGAGATAAAGGACTTATGATATGATCTACCAATTATTTCGTATGTAAGAGGCATTGGGCTATTGCAAGATGATTTAACCCATAACTGAGGTTAAGATGATTTGATCCTTAAGGTAACCATTAACTGATCCATCCGGGACGGTCCCGGATGGTCCACCATGCACCTGGATTATTCTAGAAGCAATATTTGTACCAGGTTTAGGTTTTTTGTTCCTGATTGTCGCGAACTTTTGAAATCCTTCTACTTTTCAATATAATAATAAGGCAAGTCCATGGTGTGAGAGCCACCACAAACAAATGACCTCCTTACCCTTCGTCTATCATTCCCATTCCCCTGCCGCTTTTTTATCTCATGTATTCACTCATGTATTTTCCTTTCCAAATTTCTGCTTCCATGCTTCTTGATCATGTGCTTTGGCTTTCAGTTCCCTGTATTTTCTCTCCTCGCGTAAGTCGTCAATCGTCTACATTCTTCTTCTTCCCATTTCTTTCATTCCTTCTATTTTACTCTCGACTACGTCGTGCAGGAGGCACTCTTTTTGCAGAAAAAGTCCGATCCAGTTTCCTTGTCTTTCCAAGATTGTTCTCAGTTTTTTTAAATATATTGCAAATATTAAAATTCTTACAAATATTGAACCGAAAACCGAGTAAAGAGACTTGACTTCAAAAAGACACAATAATAGCGATATTTCTTGCTAAAGTTAATTATAAAAAAATAAAAATTTTATAAGTTTTTATTAAGTGGGTTTTACTAATTTTTCAAGTTCAACAAAAATTTTCATCTTCTATATGTACAAGGTTTAGATCAAGTAAGGCAGTATTGTGTCATTATATATTTTATATAAGTTCCGTATTTTATATAAGTTCCGTTTTTATACATGCCTTTTTGTACTATTTGAATACAACTGCAGTTTTAATTTGATATTGTAAAAAAAAACTTTTTAGGAATTATTTTACACAATTTAGATTATAATTGTCGAAAATAAGTGCTTTCTAGGAGAGGAGGGTTCTTGCAATTGTTCCGGACAGTTAAAGTTTAAGATATCAAAAATTCCAAACAGTGAGATTTTGGCAACTTCTTATATTTTTGATAGAATTTGCGTACACTTAATTATAATTGGCGCTAATTCCTAAACCTCAACGTTTATTCTTGGCTTCATGTTTTCATAAGAGAAAATCACTGAGCAGAACTTTAAGGCTTTTCTATCTTAAAAAAATAAATCAAGTTTGCTATGTACTTAAAACTGTAAACATTTGTTTTGGATATGACTTTGACTACCAACATAATAACAACAACAACAAATATAGAATCTAGATAATTTTTTTATGATTTTACCCAATTACACTATCATTACATAATACATCATTACATTAGTTAAATATATAAATAATTAGTTTAACTTTAAAATCTGACTTTAATATTAAATTTATTTAATAAATGCAGAATAGTAATGATGTGATTCCAGCTACGCAATTTTAAAAAACAATTCAGGATTATTTTATTGAATAATTCAATACTAAAGTGATAATATTATTATTCTTGAAACAAAAGCTTTGAAGGCATTCAAGTCTCAGGTCCTTATTAGTAGTTATTGGTGATACAAAAAGAAAATTTAATAAACCACGAAAGAAAGTTTCATAGTTTTTTTTTTTCAATTTTCTTACAAACTTTTTATAACTTTTTTTATTTTAAATTATCTTTTATTAATAGAAATTATCTATTTTAGATCAGCGAATGTGGAATGGTTCTAGAAGAGCAACCTGCCAAAGTATCAGAAGCTTTCAGACTTTTCCTACAGGGAGAAGGATACGGTAAGTGCTAACATTCCAAATTCAATTTCTAGTCAACTAAAAAGCTAAATAAAAATATACAAAATGTGGCAAAATGCCCAAATACTGTTTATAAATGAGTAAAATTTGTTGAACCAGACTTTAAAAAAAATATTAATCACATAAATTGGAATTTAGCACATTGTATATGCATTGTTGCTGACTATAAAATTTAGGATACTTAAAAAAATAATTAGAGAGAAGCTATATTTACAATGTTTCTTTTCTTTATGAAAATATGTAGCGGATAGTAAATTAATTAATTTGTTGTCTTAAATAATTTTAATTCTCAAAAATAAAATAATTGTGAGCTTATACTAGTTTTAAATAGTATTGCGGTTTCAAATCTTTTCTTTGTTTAAATATATATTATTGTGATATTGAAACAATGTGTACAAAATGTTTCTGTTTAAAATTAAATTCTATGGAAGTTATAATTATTTAAAAATGAACTGTATATAAAGACTAAGATAATTAATATTCATTAACACACATTAACTTATTTACTTCATATATTCTTCTTCAAACTACTTTAATAAACATTATCATAATCATTTTTTGGAAACAGAATCAAATTTTATTTTAGGAAAATGCAAATTTGATTCTTGTGTAATAAATAAAAATATTTATTAATTAGTTAGCACTGCGCTTTAAAACAATAAGAAATTTCAACAATTTAAAAAAATAAAAATGATTAGATTATGTTTTGTTAAATCATCAAAAATCACGAATCATCAAAATCATTTTTCATCCATCGGCTTTTGGCGTATTTATAAATTTTATTTTGGAAATTGTGGTTATTCAATATTTTATTTTTGCTTCAAATTGCATGATTGATAAATTTATCATTATAGTGTCTGATTTAAGAACTTTTAATTATTATTCATTAAGGTGTATGCCACTCTCATTCTTTGACAAAAATGAAATTAAAATACGCTATTAGTCCAAAAAAATTCAATGTTTCGTGAAGAAAACTTTTTAAAAGTAGATGATCTTTGTTTAGACATAAACTGCCGAAAATTGTTAAAGAATTATATATATAACTATAAATATTTAAGTGTAATGTGCTTACTATGCATCAATATATGAACTATTAAGAAAGAATTAAATGTTTTCTTATTGTTGAGTTTTTTCACACCCATTTTATTTTTAAATTAAATTATTTTTTATTTATCGCGATGGTAAACGAAGTTTAAAATTAACTACTTTTGAATCCATAATTTATCCAAAAAATAAACATTAGAATTCAATTCTGAATTTCTGCACTTGGAAGACTTTAGTAGACAACTTTTATTGACTATGATAGTATTTTATTTAAATTTATTAATTTGTTTTTAATAATAAAATATTGATTAATTAACGCTAACCACAAAACGGAATAACTTGGTATGTATTGAATAAAATTTGCGGTCCAAAATTTTCTGAATAATTTGATTTATTTTGATTTTTCCAGCAATGCATGATGAATAGTAGAATATTAGATCACTATAAAATTTTTATCACCATATTAAATGTAGAAAATTAGGAAAACTTGTTATTAATCATTACACAAAAACATCTTAATTTTTCATTCATTTATGTAGTAATTAGATAATAGCATTAATCATGATCTTAATAATTTTAATAATATAATATAATATTATATATGCTAGTTTTTTTTGGATAGCTAATATTCTTTGTTTTCAATTTTTCAAAAAATATTTTTATTGAATTTTTCATTTTTCTTTTAATGAAATTATACTTAATTACAATCCAAAAGTAGCTTCTGGATGATCAGCCAATAGTTTCATATAAACAAATTATGTAAAATTGCTTTTTATGAAGATAGTTTGTACAAAGTGAAAAATAATTTTGATGATTACCTGTTAAAAAATAAAAATATATAGGAGTAAACTTTTGAATTTTTATTGCCCTTAACTAAATTTTTTGTAGTGTATTTGAGTTTCAAAGCATGATATCCTAAATAAATTCTTAGACAATTGAAATTTATATTAATTTGAAATATGACGATTTGTTCAGAAAATAAAAATTTCTGTTAAATTTCATGTGGATAATTAATAATAATTTTTAACGCATCTTTTCATTACAAAATATATGAAATCCTCCTTTTTTTTTGAGACCAATCTATTACACCTAACACCTGAATCATTTACCATTTATCATTGGACCCCAAAAGGATCCTTAGTGACCCTTAGATCATTTTTATTATGTAGTTTTACATGCACGTATTGTAGTTAAATATCTTATCCATTCACTTTTTATTAATTATGATTTTTATTTCGTTTTAGCTGTCGGCGCCTTGCAAAAGCTTTCCAGGCTGAGCATATCACATTCTTCAGATAGTATAAGTTATTAGAGTAGATAATTAGATAATCATCTATCATTTTCACTTATTCTTTATTATTATTATTATTATTATTTTGTTTAAAACTTAATCAGATTTTTCTAACAAGTGTACATATTCATAAGCAACAATTGCCATAAGAACAAATTTTTTGAATTGATAATTAATTTTTTTTTATCCAATAGTTGTAAATAATATTTTTGCTATTTTTTGATAACCAATATATTTGATGAAACCGATTTTTTTTATTATCGGTTCGTAATTAAGACGCTTTACTCGAATGAGAGTATGTAGTGAGCTTTTTGTATATTCATTGTAGATTTTAAATATATTACATAAGAGTTATATTATATATCATTGTATTATTATTTTTTAGTAATATATTATTCATGATATCATCCAATTGTTTTATTTTTTTTCGATTGCGCCATTGACTTTTAAAAAATTAGAACTTAAATAATGCTAAAGTTGTGCAAAAAAGTTATTGATGCTAAAGTTTCATTTTTGTCTATTTTTTTAAATATAAAATTTTAGTTAAATAGCATTATAATTTGGTAACATTCAAAAAATTATTAATCATTTAAAAAGTCAATGACTCATAATTTAAATATTTATTTATAATCATCTTCATCATATAGTAGATGAAAAGAATATATGAGGTAAAAGCTAAATATTTAGTATTTGAATATTTAGTGTCCCAGTTTTTAGTACTTCGTAGAACAAATATAATTAATTATTTTATCTGGATATATATATATATATATATATATATATATAGGGTAGTCCTTAATATGGATGTTTTCGAAGTTCCTTGTTCCCAGGGGCTCAAATGCTTCCAAACTGATATAAAAAAATTCTCCGAAAATTTTAGCTCTTAATGTTAACTTTAAGATAGTCCGCACTCCAATCAAAGTTTCTAAGGAAATAACATGGGTAAAATTCTATTTGTTTTATAACTTAGCTACAAGTGAATCAAAATTTTGAGAATAAAATTGTATTTGCTTATTTTGATCATAAATAAAAAGTTTACAATAAACATTTGATATATTTTATGAAATAAATAGAAGCTTTGGTTGAAGTGCAGACTATTTCAGAGTTAATATTAAAAGCTAAAACTTTCAGAGAATTTTTTTTATCAATTTGGAAGCATTTGAGCGAGCCCCTGGGAGCAAGGAATTTCAAAAACATCCATATTGAGGACCACCTATATATATATATATATATATATATATATATATATATATATATATATATATATAGTTCTCCTGAACTAAAAGCTTTAGTTTTTTTTTCAAATAAAAAATATTTTATCATTTATAATTATTTGTCCCTCTCGGACATATGAAATATCCACTTTTTCATGAACTGTTAAGACAAACATTTTTTAATACATTTATACACATTTCAATTATTTAAAAATTCAAAGAATTTACATTTTAAGTAATTCGATTACAAAGTGTATAAACGTATAAAAATATTTTGTTTGTTTTAAAAGTACCTGAAATGTACAAATAATTAGGGAGCGTCCATTTATTAGGTGATCGAGTTTTTAGGGGCATTTGAACCCCCATCAAACATCACGTGTATTTTTTGTTACGTAAAATTTTTCGAATTTACGAAAAAATCGTGAAATTTTTTATTTATTTTTGAAAAAGTTTGGATTCTTTTCAAAAGTTCAGATGAAAAATACTAGACCCCTCTTAATATTACTAGACCCCTCTTTAAATTACAAGACGACAATTAATATTACAAGACCCCTCTAAATATTACTAGATTCCTCTCTCCCCCACGTGTTTTTTCTTGATTTTTTGTCAACCCCCCTCTCCCCCTAAAAGCTACACGTGATTAATGGACGCCCCCTTATTAATAAAAAATTAAATAATTTTTTTTATCAAAAAATAACACTAATGCTTTTAGTTCAGATCATTAAATAATATTAACTATCCAGAAAAACTGATCACATTAGTTTAGCATATACACTATGTGAGAATATTTTGAAACTAATTGAGCATATTTTAAAATCCTTAATGATTTTCCAAAAAGCAAGCAAAATTGATTAGTATAATAATACTATCTGATTATCATAAAATTACTGACTAAGCTACAAATTATACCGATTTTTTTATAAAATATGATCCTGTTGTAAAATTTCTTGAACAAAACGCGGTAAGTTTAATAAAAATTAAATATAATTTCGGGAGCAACCTTTGATTAAATTTTTTTTGTTATGCTGATAAATATATATGGCACAAATTTAAATTCATATCAATCTTACATTGTTTCGTTTTTGTCTGATAGTAGACGTATTTTCAAGTCCATTATCAAAAATCCAACATAGAATTGGTGATTTTGTTAACTTTCCCCCGAAAGTCCAAACGCATAATCAATTTTTGTGCATACCTCTGATATTATATTTACTAAGCAAAATATAATATAATAATAATAATATCCAATATTGGAAAATTTGAGTTCAACAGAAAGTTCGCCATGACTTAGTAAAAACTTTTTTTCAAAAGCAGTTAACCAATTCAACCTAATTCTTTACTTGGCAAACCATTATCTAGGTTCTAAGAACCACCGATTAATTTTATGTATTTCATCCAATTTCCTCCAATCTAGCCGGATTTATATCGCCAGCAAAACTAGGACTATACCACTTATTCCCAACAACTGCCAATAAAGAGACTTCAGCCAACAACAATGTCGAAGTCATCAACACTAATCAACAACAGCAAGTTTCTGCCGCTAATGTTGCCAACAATAATTGCGTTTCTATAAGAATTACAGAAAATCCAATTTCGGAAGCCGTTCCTTGCTAATTTACAAATTTGGAAAAAAATAGAAGACTTAGGCTACAGGAGGAGGCACAGCTTTTTTATAGATTGGATGAGAATAGAAGAGAACTATACACTTGTCACGGAGAAGATTTCACTTATGAAATACTGATTTTTATTTCACTAGCAATTTTGTAATTAGTCAATAAGGTATCATTTCATCATCGCTTGATTAGGTACAAGAAGTATAATAATAATTTTATAAAAACTTTGGTTTATCATCATTGTATCAGGTTGTTGGGAAGTAATTTGATGTTTTTAGTCCAATGGAAATAACACAGTTAAATTTTGATGAATTCTGTTCCTGGTTGATGGCACATTTTGGTCGACCAGCGCTTTAAAGCATTTTCTAGATCAAAAGTATCTAATCTGAATTTGCCAAAATTATTAACAATACATATAACCTCCATATAACGCGGTTAGTGTGTTTTTAGACGACCAGCGACGTAGTGCATTTTTGTAGATCCAATATCCCAAGTGGTATTTGCCGAAATTATTATTAATACAGTTAAGCCCCCTATAACGCGGTTAGTGTATGTTTAGACGACCAGCGGCGTAATGCATTTTCTAGATCCAATATACCTAATCTAAATTTGCCGAAATTATTATCAATACAGTTGACCTACCTATAACGCTGTGAGTGAGTCCCGTGTAATATGGAAACCATGCTGTAAACAATCGGATTTAACGTACAAACCAGAATAATTCATAGTGCGTTCTGTGCAAATCGGCGGATATCGCGTTGTATGGGAACGGGAAGTTAAGAAAACTGTTTTCCAACAAAAAAATTCTCAAGCTGAAATCTTAGAAGGACTAACGTAAAACTAATAAAATCAAAGCTCTTGATCGGAAACCGCGTTATAAGCGGGCGGTCGCAATTTCATGTCTGCGTAGTCTGAAAATCGCGTTTCCAGAGTGCCGCGTTGTAGGAGGGTTGACTATACATTCAATTTTTAAAAAAAATTTAAACCAGCACAATATAACCAGAATTCTTCACATTGGACTCTTTTAGACAAGATTTAAAAATTCCAATACATATAATTTTTCCTGACAGAAAACAAAAAAATTACTTTTCAACTATCTCCATTCTATAAATCACTATAATTTTCCCATGATTTTCCATTATAAATATGTAAACATATCACTATTGGGTATTAGATGATGTAAATAATTTTAAATTATGTACTTAAAAACAATTTGTTACATTAAAATTAATTTAGTTTTAGAAAAACTAGGTGTATACATGCTTCAGTGTTGATGTTTTGAGCTCAAATTTAACAGATCATCGTGTACGCTTTTCAAAATTAAAATTAGTGGTAGAAGAATATTTAGATATGAATTGTTATGTAGAAAGCAAAGTTTATTTTTTAATAAATAGACATGTTTCATATTGTAAAAATAATAAATTGGCATGGGAGATTTTATTAGTAAAAGTCACAGGGCTTGTATGATGTATTGTTGGAGAATTGGCGGAGTTGTAATAAATCAAAAAAATTGGAAAAAAAATTGTAAAATCTCTCGTGCTTTCTTGTTATTAATGTTAGCGACTCAAAGATTTATACTTTTCTCAATAAACTCTCAATTTATTTCATACATATAATAATACAGTTTGTAAATTATAGTTCAAGACTGAAACTTTAAATTTGTTCACATTTTCTCAAAATTAATTTATCGATCGTCTTTGCATCGCTAACAAATGTATATTTGATATATTTTATGGTTTTGATATTAAAAAAAAATATATTAGTGACAGAGAAATTTTAAAAAGTAGATGCTGTAGAGAGCTAAAAGATTTTCATACGATTTTAAAGAGGTTTCACACATTTAGTACAGAAATCAGCAAAATGTAATAAATAGTAACATTTTTTTTAGAATTTTAAACAAAATGCAAAAATTAGTTTCATTAAAAATAATAATTATTGCCTGGACTTAATTGAAAAATGTATGCATTTAATAGCAAATCAAATTTATTATAATTTAATAGCAATTTAAATTTAATAGCAAATTCCAATTAATTATTTTTTATGAATTGAAGCAACAACCTCCAGGATTGATAAACGAGTAGTGGTTAAAGTAGAAAGTTAACAATTCAATAGTAATTTTTATAAAAATATAGAAAATTTATTTATTTTCTCTTTAGGGGAAAGGCTGTGATCGAAGGACATAAAAAATAATTTTTAAATTTAATTTTCTTCAAATAATCTAAAGCTCTATATATATTTTACAGTAAATATTTATCATGTATCAAGTAGACAATATTAAAATAATTGGTTCAGAAGGCAGTAATAATAAGGATTTTTCATAATCTATATGTAGATTTTTGGCAAAATGCTTAAGAGCAAATGTAGAAGCAAAAAATATTAGAAGAATTGCACATTGCATATAGGGCAATGTCATTTAACACAAGGAATAAAAAATTAAAAAAATGGTGTGAACGCTAGTAAAATAAGAATTTTGAAAAAGTAATGATAAATAGCAGCAAAAATTAGAAGAAAATGGTTAAACATTAACATCTTTTCTATCAGATGATGATGAGTGATCATGGTGCAAAATTTGGTTCAGAATGGTACACAGTCCTTGGAAGTCCTAACATGTTTAATCAAAAAAATAACATATATAAATATATTAATCCCATTATCATGACCTTCCAAGGGCTGTGTATATTTTTGCCTTCAAGATCAAAATGGATTTTCTTAAAATAAATTTGAACATGTGTCTATAAAGATGACTTCTTAAGAAGGAACTAAATTTTTAAGTACATAATATGTTTCAAAAAAGCACAAGTTAGCGATAGAGCATTTATATATACGTACAAGTAATAATTATATTAAGATAAATAACATCATAATATCACATATCACATATGAACGTACATATGATGAAATATACAGGGTGTTCCAGAACTCAACGTCAAGGTGAAACAGAGTGATAGTGTTGATCATAACCATCATGAAAAAGTTACAAATATTCCAAAAAAATTATGGAAAAAAATTATCTCTTGGAAATTGTGAGCTTTTAAGTGCAACCAAGGGTTTTATTAAAAACTAGATGACCCGACAGACGTTGTCCTGTACCCATGTCTACACTAATTTTTTAATATAATATACTAATATTTACCGTTCACCTAAAAATAATAATTATAGTTTTTTAAAAAACTCTTTACGCCAAAATGCATATACGTTTATAATATGACCGATTTAATGTAGAACTGCTTTAAATGATGAGTTTCAATTCCCACACTATATTGGAAATTGAAGTCTTTTAAACGGTAAAACATAACCATAACCAAAACATAACACTGGTACTTCATGTTGGATTAAATTATTTAATTTTTTTTTATTTGAGATATCCAAAATTGCATCTTAAACTTCTCCTAATCGATATCGTGAGGGCCGAATTGTATGTATTCATCTTTACTCCCCCATTTGTTGTTAGAAAAGTGATTTTTTTACGAATTTTAAAAATATTGTGGAGAGATTAGTAAAAGATGCAAAGAAATTATATATTGAAAAAAAAATATATTGAAAATTTAATATACGAATCTTGTGTTGGCGCCCCCTAAAGCGTCCGCTAAAGGGCTCTGACTAAAACTTAATTTCATATTTCAAGTGAATTAATTTGTCATATCTTGTTCATATGTGTATCATTTAATCTACCATACATATACTGTATTTTATATGATTTTAATTTCTGGCACATCTCAGCTGCGTTTTAGCAATAATAATATAGACATTTCATTTTTCTTATTCATAATTATAAATTTATTATAAATATTCTAATATTGTCTAGGTTCATAAGTTAATTGAAATTTTTGGCAGATGATAGTTTTCATTTGTTTTCAAAGCAAACAATGACATGTCGTTTTTTGCAATTTTTTCCATTTATTTCTCCCAGTACTTTATAATCACATACATCCTAGAAAATTTTCTTAACATGCTTCAGAAAGATTTATTAAAATCCGAATAATCGTTTTGAAGGAGTATACAGTGAGTGCTTGTAATTTAATATGAACTTTATATATTAGCAATAAAGCTCAAATTGATTCTACGTTTTAGTTAGAAAACGTTTGTATGAGAAAAAGAAAAGGGCTGTTCTTCGGGTTTTCCGGCAATTATTCGATTTTTTCCTGCCGTAAGAACCATCCTTGGACATAAACGAATATTTTAAAAGAAGAATTGGCCAAATTGGTCCAGGCGTTGTTGAGTTATGCGCTTACCAACACATTTTGCGATCCATTTTTATATATAAGATGTGATATTTTTTTATTATTGTGGTAAATTTTTATCAATTTTGTTCCTTAATCGTAAATAATATATCTAAGACCACAGTCAAAAACGATAATACAATTAGTCCAAGTTTTGAAGAACTAAAAACTTTTGTCCAACCATAAATTTAAAATTTCAAAATTGGCGACTTTGGCAGGTCCTTCTCTAAAAAAATGCACTTTGTGTTGACAAGTTTCATAAAAAGTTGGCGCATTTAATCAAGTTTTTAAAATTGTAAAATAATTAATAGTTTCATAATAAAAAAATTCAGCGAAAAAATAAAAACCTAAAAATAACACGACAATGACTAACGCATTTCACTAACATTCAGTTCAAATGTTTTTTCTATTTTACTCAAATTTTGTATTTTGTACTCAATTTTTTATTATTAATTATTTTATGATTTTACAGTCCTGATTGTCAACTTTTGACAAAATTACCAACATACGTACTTCAGTACATTTTTTCAAAGAAGAGCCTCTCAAAAAAGATTAATTTTTAAAAGTTTAAATTCATACTTTAACAAAAAGTCATATTTCTTCAAAATTTGAAGTAATTGAACCAATATTTTTAACTATGGTCCTAGAAATATTAATTACTGTTACAGATCCAAAATTTAAATGAACAAAATTAATAAAGATCATCGAATAAAAAAAATTCTAAGTTTTTTCACAATACTATCACTTCGTTTCTGCTTGACTTTGAGTTCTGGGACACCTTGAATATCTGGACCTAAAACCTGCATATATCACTT